ATAAGCCACTCACTGCATGTTTCCACACTGTTGACACCTCCAGTATCATAGGATCTGCCGGATCATCTGGCCTAAGTGGCAGGACTACTTGTATCACAGCCTGGACCTGCTGCAGAGCGCTTTTCTGCTCTGGCCCTCATGCAAAGCTGGTAGCTGGTAGTTGGTAGCTTTGCATGTCACCTGGAATATGTGTCAGAGCAGTATTTGTGCAAGGGGGATATGCTACCTCCAGAACGGGAAGAGGCCTCTAGGTATTGTGCTTTCCTCTTCATGGTGGAAAGTGCATGATTCAATGTTTTGCCCTATTCTTTGGAAGGGCTGTTCTGGTTTACTGCCCTGGACCACTGGATTCCTAAAAATTTTACTAATGCAGCAGGCCCTTGAGTCTCTGTAGGGTTTATTCCCCACCCTCTGGAATGGATGTGTCTTATCAGAGTGATATGCTGACCCTCTCTTGCTCATCTTGCACAATCAATATGATGTAATCGATGTGGTGGTCCAGTGTGCTATTTCCTGGGTTATCCAACTGGCCTAGGTTTCTTTGGACTGTGTTATGACACCAGGTGAGAGAGAGAGCATAGCCCTATGGCAAGACCACCCACGAATATTATCATCAGTCTCATGTGAGTGTGAACTGTTTCTAATCCTCTTTTCTAATGAGAATAGAAAAGAATACATTAGCCAAGTCAGTGGCCACCTGCTGTACCTGAGGTCTTATTAATCTGCTCTGGTAATGACAGCATGTCCGGTACAGCAGGTACAACCAAGAGTACTACTTGGTTGTATTTGCAGTAGGCTGCAAGCATTCTTCAGGACCCATCCGACCTCTCCAGTGGCCAGACTGCTCAATTCGATGGAGCTAAGATGGAACTAACACCTCTGCTCCTTTAGAACTTTCAATGTGGCATTGATTTCCATCATCACCCATAGAATACACACGATATTGTTTGTGATTTACTGTTCAGGCCATGGGGGTGTATGCCATTTCAGAAGCTTCTAATTTGGACTTCCCTACTGAAATAGCTCTTACCTCACAGGCCAAGGAGCCCGTGCTGACAACTGCAAAGTATGCCATTGCAGTTATACATTTGTGAACTGAGGAAGTGACCATTGGGTGGGTCTCTGGAGCCACCAGACCCACTGTAAGCAGGACCTGGGCCAGGGCTCATTTATCACCTTACCACTACTGTGCTTCTCAGAGTGACTGGTACCACCTTCACTAGCATATTTCTTATTGATTTCATAAGTTGTGTATCCTCTAGACTTTCCCACAGAACATAATCAGCAGGTGGGTTTTCCAGATTTCAGTAGTGTATCTACTCCAATATGTCTGCTTCTTTGAGCCCTTTGATCCTTCCCTGTGCAATCTGCCATGGAAGCTCTGCCTCACTTAGTGTGAGCCGTTGTTTACTCCAGGTTTCCAAATATCAGTGTGTTAGTAACATTTCCTAGAGTCCTCGCCAGGGTTTGAAGTTCCGTATCCTGGGAGTGCGCGCCAACTTCCTGTTCTACCTCCTTCATCCATTGTCCTCAAGATCCATTCCCAGGCATCCCTTCCCAGCTCCTGCCAGTACATACTAGCCAGATTCTAGCTTCTTCTACAGATCATTTCTCTCCTTCCTTTGCAAGCCTAGAACCTGTCCAGCCAGCCAGGTTTCACTAGGATTTGACTCTAATTTTTGGTCTGGTTTCCAGGAGGGAAGGTGGGGATAGATTCTGAGAGTGGCAGGTATTGTCTTACAAGGCGCCTGCTTCATCTGAAGCCTCTGTATTATCTTCAGGCAGAAGGTATATATTCTAACTCGGGGGAGTGGTCTACTTCAGCAGGCTCAGTGGATGCAGGTGAGTGTGTAAGCCCAAGGTGTTTAACTGCATCCGCCCAGATATCCCCATCTTAGAGTCCTATTCCCGTCCTGTTAGGGCCCTGAGCATGGCCTAGGAGATGTGCTGGGCCTGAGAAGTCAACTTTTTCTGAAGCTCCACCACCATGGAGAATTAAATTCTGAGCCTGGCCCTCCCCTCTGTCTGCCCTCTGACGCAGGAAATGAGGATTTGCTTAAATGCAGTCACGGAGGTCCTCTGGCTTTCACATTTTGCCTTGAATTCACCCTGAGCATGTCAGATCTTTCTTCAGCTACTCAATGGCACTTAGAGAATAGTCACCCAAGTCTGGTTACCATTTCCCTGACATCACTCAAGTTCCAGGGATATTTCACCAGCCAGTATATTCCCTTCCACCAGAATCCTGTTACAGCCCACCATCAGGAAAAGTCACCACTGCTCCAAAACTCTGGGGGCCTGCACTGTATTCTCCCACCTGAGAGAATAAGTGCCACACAGTATCTTTTCCTACTACTGACACCTCCAGTGTCATAGAAGCTGCTGGATCATATGGCCCAGGTCACATCCTGCTTGCACCACAGCCCAGACCTGCTGCAAAGCACTTTGCATTGCTACAGCATGTCGGAGGCTATCCGTGCCCCACCTCCCACCACTGATGGGTCCTCACTGCCATCTGGTGGCTGGGTAACCCAGCTCCAGAATTGCATTAGACCATCCTTGTAGTTTGACTTCCATGGCCCACTGTTTTACGTTTTGAGATGGAGATTTGCATGTGGGAGGCTTGTGGGGTGTGCCATTGGGATCAACACCTGTGAGGAGGGGTGGGTTGAGCAGAGGGAGAGGCTGGCTCAAGATGTGGTTGCCTCAGGGGCCTCCATTGATCTTATGGGGAGCCCTGGGGCTGGGATGGTCCTTCAGAGTCAACCAGGATTGAGGCAAGGAGGCTGGCCTTTCTTTCCTCTCATAGACCAGACCATGGGGATGGACCAGACCATGGGGATGCCCTCACGAAGTAGGTATAACCTTGGCCAAGGCAGTGTTCTGTGGCAAGACAATTTCCAGTGGGGACACAGCCATGAGCTGTCAGAAGCTCCCATTCAAGGTACATTGTCTCTGAAAAGGAGGCCTGAGCAGACCACCACAGCATCCAACTACACTTATGGTCAGAAAAGTTTTAGAAACAGTGATGTACCCCGTCATCCCCACTCATCACTTTATAGATGAAAAATGTGCAGGGTTGAGAGAGATTCTCTCCCGGCTCTTCAGAGGGGATGGTGTCAGTGATGGGGTGTGTGTGTGTGTGTGTGTGTGTGTGTGTGTATGTGCGCGTGTCAGAGAGCGCGAGGAAAAAGAAATAGCTGTACTTGGGTCTGTTGCATATGTCAGTCAAGTCACCAGGGTGACAAGTAATCAGGTCTTGAACCTTGATTGTGTGCCTGTCAGTGACCAATAGCCCTGAAAATGTCTCTCCCCTTCATCTGCCTTCCTTGAGAAATCTGACTGGGGATGAGCTTCCATCCCTGGAGCAGCTTGTTGGCTAGAAATCCTGAGACTGGGGGAGGAGGCCACCGGAAACCAGGCCCAGCTGGGGATGGGCCCAGGGACAATGACATAGCAGTTCGTGATGTGCCTGCTGCTGCTCCCACTCCCCCTCCCTCCTGTTGCTCCCTCTCCTCCTCAGCTGCATTCCTCCCTGCCCCCATCATTGCCAGCTACACTGGCTTCTCTAGAGCTACCCAGCCCGCACCACTCAATCCACTCCTCCTTGTCGGATGCAGCTGCCCACCCATGGCCATTGTGTTTCTCACAGCACACAAGCACACATGGTGAATGTGCTCCTCCTTGCAAAAGGGCTGAGAGTGGAGAGAGGCTGCAGGCCACACAGCCAGACACAGGCACTGAGCTATACACAGGCACTACAAATACACAAACACAGGCATGCCTCAGAGATATGTAGTTTCTGTCTCTCTCTCTCTCTCTCTCTCTCTCTCTCTCTCTCTCTCTCTGTCTGTCTCTCTCTCTCGCCCTAGATCTTGCTCTGTTGCCCAAGCTGGAGTGCAGTGGTGCAATCACGGCTCACTGCAGCCTCAACCTCCTTGGCTCAAGCCACTCTCTTGCCTCAGCCTCCCCAGTAGCTGGGACTACAGGTGTGCACCACTATGTCTGGCTAGTTTTTTGTTTTTTGTTTTGAAATGGAGTCTCGCTCTTGTTGCCCAGGCTGGAGTGCAATGGTGCGATTTCTGCTCACTGCAACCTCTGCCTCCTGGGTTCAAGCAATTCTTCTGCCTCAGCCTCCCAATTAGCTGGGATTACAGGTGTGCACCACTACGCCCGGCCAATTTTGTATTTTTAATAGAGATAGGGTTTCACCATGTCAGTCAGGCTGGTCTCGAACTCCTGACCTCAGGTGATCCACCCGTCTCGGCCTCCCAAAGTGCTGGGATTACAGGTGTGAGCCACTGGCACCAGCCATTTTTTTGTTTTTGTTTTCCTTTTTTTTTTTCCTATAGAGATGGGGGTCTCTCTATGTTGTCCAGGGTGGTCTCCAACTCTTGGCCTAAAGCAGTCCTCCCACCTCCAGCCTCCCAAAGTGCTAGGATTACAGGCGTGAGCCACTGTACCTGGCCAGATATGACTTTTCTAAGGTTCTTTGTCGTTTGCCGACCTCCATGCAATTTCAAAGTATGTTCTAATTTACATAGTACTGCTAATTTTGTGAAGCTCTTAAAAAATATTTACAATGGCAATGTGATGAGCAGACTATATTTTAGCAAATGCCTGCTCCCTGCAGTTTAAGGCCACATTTTATAGCTTGCAGTGTGCTTTAAAATTTTTGCACCTCTGTGAGGATGACAACAGACTTTATTGTTCACAAAGCACCCTTGATTTTTTCAAAATATTTCAATAATTATAAGGCACTTTATGTTTTTTTATTGTACTTTAGGTTCTGGGGTACATGTGCAGATCATGCAGGATTGTTGCATAGGTACATATGTGGCAAGGTGGTTTGCTGCCTCCATCCCCCGTCACCTGTATCCGGCATTTCTCCACATGGTTTCTTTAATAGCATTGAAGGGGCAAAAGGGTCAGGGGCCTGTGCTTTGTCTTCCCTTCTGAGAATTGATCATTGACAGATGTGTTCTGCTTTTCCTCTCCAGGGCAAAATACTTCAAAGGGAAAAAGATCCATGGAGAAATTGACATTAAAGTAGAACAGGTAAGTTGGGGCAGTTGGACCCGGGGGTCAGTTGTCCATACTGCAAACTGAGTGATCATTTTTGTGTGAGGTAGGTGAATCACCAATTTTTGTCTCCTTCCCAGGCCGAATTCTCTGATCTCAACCTTGTGGCCCATGCCAATGGTGGATTCTCTGTGGACATGGAAGTTCTTCGAAACGGGGTGAAGGTCGTGCGGTGAGTATAAAAAGGGTATTTACAAGTGAGGGATAAGAACTCTCCCACTTAGAGCTGGGGAGAGTTCCAACCTCCCCACCCATCCTTCTGTGGGCAAGAATTTAGGCATGGAATGGGAAGACAACTTTTCTTCTGAAAAAGAGCCAGGGACCCCAGCATGCCACAAGCCAGACTTTTCAATTATTTTTTGAAACAGGGTCTTGCTCTGTCTCCCAAGCTGGTGCGCACTGGTGCAATCATGGCTTAAGTAGCCACAGCCTTCCAGTCTCAAGTGATCTTCCCACCTCAGCCTCCCAAGTAGCTGCGATTACAGGTGTGCACCACTATGCCTGGCCAATTTTGTATTTTTAATAGAGATAGGGTTTCACCATGTCAGTCAGGCTGGTCTCGAACTCATGACCTCAGGTGATCCACCCGTCTCAGCCTCCCAAAGTGCTGGGATTACAGGTGTGAGCCACTGGCACCAGCCATTTCTTTGGTTTTGTTTTCCATTTTTTTTCTATAGCAATGGGGATCTCTCTAATGTTGCCCAAGTTCGTCTCAAACAATCCACCTGCCTTGGCCTCTCAAAGTACTGGGATTACAGGTGTGAGCTGCCACACCTAGCCTTCAATTATTAATTAAATAACATTTGATAGACATCTGCTGCATGCCAGGTGCTGCTCCCAGCACTTTATATTTAAGAAATATTTATTGTGCACCTACTGTGTGCCAGGAGCTATTCTACATGCCGAAAGACCAAAAAAAAAAAAAAAAAAAAAAAGTGGCCGAGTGCGGTGGCTCATGCCTATAATCCCAGCACTTTGGGAGGCCAAGGCTGGTGGATCACCTGAGGTCAGGAGTTTGAGACCAGGCTGACCAACATGGAGGGACCCCATCTCTACTAAAAATACAAAATTCAAAATTAGCTGAGTATGGTGGTGCATGCCTTTAATCCCAGCTGTTCGGGAGGCTGAGGCAGGAGAATCTCTTGAACCTAGGAGGCAGAGGTTGCAGTGAGCTGAGATCATGCCGTTGCACTCCAGCTTGGGCAACAAGAGCGAAACTTCATCTCAAAAAAAAAAAAAAGGAACCCTGGCCTTATGAACCTTACATTCTACCATGAGTTACACACAATACACAAATAAATAAATCAGAAAACATAAAAGTGCTAAGAAAAAAATATAGCAGTGGCCAGACATGGTAACTCACACCTGTAATCCCAGCACTTTGGGAAGCCAAGGTGGGTGGATCGCTTGAGTCCAGGAGTTCAAGCCCAGCCTGGCCAACATGGTGAAACCCTGTCTCTACTAAAAATACAAAAATTAGCTGGGCATAGTAGCATGCACTGTAGTCCCAGCTACTTGGGATGCTAAGGCAGGGAAATCACTTGAACCCAAGAGATGGAGGTTGCAGTGAGCTATGATCGCTCCAGCCTAGATGACAGAGCAACACTGTCTCAAAAAAGAAAAGAAAAGAAAAGGAAAAAAATATATATATATATATACACATATATATATAGCACTAAAGCAGATGATGTAGCAATCGTTGGATGATGGTGGGGTCTGCAGTTGGGATCAGGTGGCCTGGTTGCAGGAGAGACATTTCAGGAAAGACCTGAAGGAGGCGAAGGAGTGATCCATGCAGATATCTAGTGGGGAAGTGCTTTAGGCAGACAGAACAGCCTTTATAAAGGTCCTGAGGTTAGAATTCATTCTGGGCAGAACACTGAAGACAGCTGGCAGTTTGAGAGACTGTGACCAGGGAGTTATCAGAGCTGTGTGGGTAAGGTGCAAGCTGACCTTGCTCAGAAGGGAACAGGTAGGAAAGGCTTAAAGGGGGTCACCAGGTGGGCAGAAGGTAGAAAGGGTGCACTAGGCAGAGAGAACAGCTTTGCACATGTGTGCAGAGGCGAAAAACCACTTTGCAATTTCTGGGAGCTATGGAGATTTAGAAACTTGGTCTTTGTTTTGAGAGTGATAGGGAGCTTCTGGGGGAACTCTCAACACTCCTACCCCTGCCACACCAGGTCTCTGAAGCCGGATTTTGTGCTGATCCGCCAGCACGCCTTCAGCATGGCACGTAACGGAGACTACCGCAGTTTGGTCATTGGGCTGCAATATGCTGGAATCCCCAGTGTTAATTCCTTGCATTCTGTCTACAACTTCTGTGACAAGCCCTGGGTGGTAAGTAACAGGAAGGGTGCCACTGGCAGAGGGAATAGCTCATGCATGCCTGTGGGAGCTTGAAACCACTCTACGATTTGGGGGAAGTGAGGATGTTCAGAAGCTTAGAGGTTCCCAGTGAAAGACTCACTGACCAGCTCTCTTGGTTCTCATAGTTTGCCCAGATGGTTCGACTGCACAAGAAACTGGGGACAGAAGAATTCCCTCTAATTGATCAGACCTTCTACCCCAATCACAAAGAAATGGTGAGTTTGGGGAAAATATAGTGGGCAGGAGGGAAGAGTCATAACTACTGCAATAATATTAAATATTGGTATGTTATCAGCAGTGTGATATCAAGAGTGTGGCTGCTGTGTGCAGGTGGAGGCAGAAGTTGCTTTGTGATAGGGTCTACCATAAATTTTCTAACTTTTGCAAGGAAAACTAAATCATGATCCATTCCAATATTTATCAGATCCTGTTGTTCATGTTATCTATTTTTGCCATTATTAAAAACCGATTTCTAATGTGAATTGATAGAATTAATGTAATGAACCAGAATATATTACATATAGAAATCAAGTCATTATTACTAACATTGTCAAATATTCCTCCTGATACAAATTTTACTTATATTCAAATTAGGGTTGCCAATAACATTTATCAATAGTAATGTTATAAATTCGGCCAGGCGCGGTGGCTCATGCCTATAATCCCAGCACTTTGGGAGGCCAAGGCTGGTGGATCACGAGATCAGGGTTTCGAGACCAGCCTGGCCAAGATGGTGAAACTCCACCTCTATAAAAAATACAAAAATTAGCTGGGTGTGGTGGTGTACACCTGTAATCCCAGCTACTCAGGAGGCTGGGGCAGAACAATCACTTGAACCCGGGAGGCGAAGGTTGCAATAAGCCGAGATCATGCTGCTGCACTCCAGCCTGGGTGATAGAGTGAGACTCCATCTCAAAAAATAGAAAATAATTAATAATAAATAAGTTAAAATGTTTACAAATAGACATTGAAGTTGGTTACTATTATACAATGTAATCACTAACATTACAAATTATCACTAATACTATGTTATTGTTACTATTGTAAATTATGAGTACCTATGTTATGAAATCATAGCTCCTAGTAAAAACTGAATAATCATTACTAATATCGTCAAAGATTATTGCTGTTATTACCAATGATTATTGATATTATAAATTATGCTCTGATGTAGATTATAAATACCTGTTTTGAATTATATTAGCATGGCATGCAATGGAGACTACCACAGTTTGGTCATTGGGCTACAGTATGCCATAATAAAATATGCTGAATATTTAAATAATAGAAATTGAATTATCACTGCTAATTTCATCAAATATAACAACTAATATTACAATGTATTATAGTGTTACTAATTAAGTTCATTAGTATAAATGATTAGTACCTATGTTGTAAGTTGTTATAATTATTTTTAAAAAAATTTAAACCCAAAATGGGAGGATCTCTTGAGCCAGAAGTTTGAGACCAGCCTGGGCAACATAGTGAGACCCCATCTCTACAAAAAATTCAAAAATCGTGCTCGCTTCGGCAGCACATATACTAAAATTGGAACGATACAGAGAAGATTAGCATGGCCCCTGCGCAAGGATGACACGCAAATTCGTGAAGCGTTCCATATTTAAAAAAAAAATTCAAAAATTACCCGGGCATGGTGACATGTACCTGTAGTTCCAGCTACTTGGGTGGCTGAGGTGGGAGGATTGCCTGAGCCATGGAGGTTGAGGCTGCAGTGAGCCGTGACAGCACCACTGCACCCCATTCTGGGCAACAGAGTGAGACCCTGTCTCAAAACATTAAATAAATAAGTAAATAAAATTAAACCATTACTACAAACAGTGTGAAAATTGTTACAGATATAATTACTACCAGTGTTAAGATCACTAATATAAACTATGAGTACCTGTGTTTTGAATTATCTTATAGTTCCTAATAGAAAAAAATTACTAATGTGGTTAACATTCTAACTGCTATTATTAAAAAATCACTAATATTAAAATTTTGATTACTGATATAAATTATGAGTACCACAGTCATGAATCAAATTTTGGTTACGAATAGAAATTAAATAATTGTTACTAATGCCAATTTATGTAAGTAATTTTGTCAATTTTTACAAATATTACAAAATTATGTTTACTCATGTAAATGATCACCAAATTTATGACTAAAATTACAATTAAATATCAATATTAACCCAACATTATCAACTTGATTAAATAAACATTGCTACTAATATTAGCAGTTCTTATCATATTACAAATTACGGTCACTGATACATGTCAACAGTGTTATAAATTAAGTTTATTTACAGATAAAGATTGAATCATTAGGTTTTCGGGGTGTTTTTTGTTTGTTTTTGAGATGGAGTCTCTCTCTGTCACCAGGCTGGAGTGCAGTGGCACAATCTCGGCTCACTGCAAACCTCCACCTCCCGGGTTCAAGCGATTCTTCTGCCTCAACCTCCCAAGTAGCTGGGACTGCAGGTGCACACCACCACGCCCAGCTAATTTTTCTATTTTTAGTAGAGACAGGGTTTCAACGTGTTGGTCAGGATGGTCTCGATCTCTTGACCTTGTGATACGCCTGCCTCGGCCTCCCAAAGTGCTGGGATTACAGGTGTGAGCCACCATGCCTGGCCTGAATCATTAGTTTTAAAGAAACCCAATTTGTTTATTATTATTATTATTCTACATTCTTTGAGAGACAGTAGAGCAGAATGTGCTTAAGAGCATGAACTCTGGAAACAGAATTTCTGTATGAGAATCTTACCTCCACAACTTATTAGCTGCTTAACACAGGAAAAGTTACTCAAACGCTCTGTACTCCAACTTACTCATCTGTAAAATGTAGATAATAATAGTTCCTGCCTCATATATTTTGTGTGAGAATGAAATTACTTAGTAAATGTAAAGTGTCTATAACAATGCATCTGGCATATATTAACTGCTACCTAAGTGTTGACAAATTTCTCCTTCTATTCTTAGTTGGTTGAGTACTTTTGTTGTGAAAGGATGTTGGATATTGTCAAATGCTTCTGTGTTTATTGACATGATTGTGTGGATTTTGTCCTTTATTCTGTGAATACAGTATAGTAAATTGATTTTCATGCAAGTTGATGCATTCATAAGTTTGTTTGTGATGTGTCTAGGTGTAGACATTTGCATTCCTAGGCTAAACCTCATTTGGCCTTGGTATAAATCCTTTTTGTACATTGTGGGATTCAGTTTGTGATTATTTTGTTAAGGATTATTGTATCTATATTCATAAGAGACATTCCTCTGTAGTTTTCTTATGATGTCTTTGTCTGGTTTTGGTATCAGGATAATAAAGGCCTCATAGAATAAGTTGGACAGTGTTCCCTTTTCTTCTATTTTTGGAAAGATCTTCTGAAGATTGGCATTAATTTTTTTCTCTTTTTTTGAGACAGGGTCTTGCTGTGTTACTCAGGCTGGTCTTGAACTCCAGGGCTCAAGCGATCCTCCTGCTTTGGCCTTCCAAAATGCTAGAATTATAGGCATGAGCCACCATTCCTGGCTGGCATTAATTCTTTTTAAATGTTTGGTAAAATTCATCAGTGAAGACGTCTGGTCCTGGGTATTTCTTCATAGGAAGTTTTTCTTATTCCTAATTCAATCTCTTCCCTTGTTATAGGTCTATTCAGATTTTCTATTTCTTCTTGAGTCAGTTTTGGTAGTTTGTGTCTTTCTAGGAATTTGTCCATTTCATCTAGGTTTTCTAACTTGTTGGCACATAATTGTTCACAGTATTCTCTTATAACACTTGTTGTTTCTGTAAGGTCAGTACTATGTCCACTCTTTCATTCCTGATTTTAGTAATTAGAGTTTTCTGCCTTTTTGTTTCTTAGTCTAAAGGTTTGTCAATTTTATTGATCTTTTCAAAGAACCAAATTTTTGTTGCATTTGTTTCTCTATTTTTTAAATTCTTTTTTTGTTTTCTCTGTGCGCGTGTGTGTGTGTGTGTGTGTGTGTGTGTGTGTGTGTGGTTTTTCGTTTCCTTTTTCTTTTTTCTTTTTTTGCAGAGTCCCACTCTCCTGCCAGGCTGGAGTGCAGTGGTGGGATCTTGGCTCACTGCAACCTCTGCCTCCTCGGTTCAAGCGATTCTCCTGCCTCGGCCTCTCTAGTAGCTGAGATTACAGGCGTGTGCCACCACACCCAGCTAATTTTTGTATTTTTAGTAGAGACGGGGTTTCACCATGTTGGCCAGAATGGTCTTGATCCCTTGACCTCATGATCTGTCTGCCTCGACCTCCCAAAGTTCTGGGATTATAGGTGTGAGCCACCGTGCCTGGCCTATTTTTAAAATTCTTTATGTTATTTATTTCCACTCTTATCTTTATTGCTTTTTTCCTTCTGCTTGCTTTGAACTTAGTTTGCTTTTCTTTTTTTAATTTTCTAGAAAAAATAGAAGATTAGGTTACTGATTTTTTTTTTTTTAAGTTGGAGTCTCACTCTGTTGCCCAGGCTGGAGTACAGTGGTGTGATCTTGGCTCACTGCAACCTCCACCTCCCTGGTTTGAGCAATTCTCTTGCCTCGGCCTCCAAAGTAGCTGGGATTACAGGCTGCTAATTCTTGTATTTTTAGTAGAGATGGGGTTTCACCATGTTGGCCAGGCCAGTATTGAATTCCTGACCTCATGATCTTCCCGCTTTGGCCTCCCAAAGTGCTGGGATTATAAGCGTGAGCCACCGTGCCTGGCCAGGTTATTGATTTTGATATATCTTTCTTGTTTTTAGATATAGGCAGTTACAACTATGATTTTTCCTTTAAGCACCACTTTAGCTGCATCCCTTACATTTTGATATGTTGTGTGTTCATTTTCATTCATCTCAGAGTATCTTCTAATTTCCCTTGTGATTTCTTCTTTGATCTATTGGTTATTTATGAATGTATTACTTTCCACATATTTGTAAAATTTTCAAATTTTCTTCTGTTTTTGATGTCTAATTTCACTCCATTGTGGCCAGAGAACATATTTTGTATGATTTCAATCCATTTCAGTTTACTGAGATTTGTTTTCTGGTTTAACATTGAATCTGTCCTGGAGAATGTTCCATGTGCACTGAAGAAGAATGTGTGTTCTGCCACTGTAGGGGGAAGTGTTCTATAGATGTCTATTAGGTCTAATGGGTTTATAGCATTATTCAAATCTTCCTTATTGGCCAGGCACAGTAGCTCACGCCTGTAATTCCAG